AGCAGCTGAGGGTGGGCTGCTTTGAGCCATCTGGAGGCTTTAATGTGCCCCGTGCAGCTCACGCCAACCTGGCTTGCCAGAGTCCGGGTCACTGTGCCGAGACACCTCAGAACGGCGCTCAAGGGAGCCGTGCTCCGCCACCACCTGGGCCCTCTCGCAGATGAACTTCCACTTTCAATTTGATGCTGTTTCTCTAGCCCTCTGCAGGCACTTACACGCAGAACTATTATTACTTGCTTGTTACTGCATGTTGCTGATTCATACGCAGAGGAAAATGTAATTTTGTCTTAACACCTCTTCCCTGTCATTTAAGGCATATGTTAATGAAAGACAGATTTTGGCACCCAGTCTCCTCTGCAGCTTTGAGGCCACAGTATATATTCATTATAAATGAAGATGCAACTGTTATTTTATTTGTTTGTATTTATAACCACACCAAAGCCATCTTGCAGGTACCTTTGTGCCTCTCAAATCCCAAACCATATTCCAAGAAATGCTCAATATTTCATGCTTGAATTGGCATTAATGTACATACAATGTTTTAAATAAAGATGTTTTCACTCATATTTTATTATTGACACTCTCTGATCACATATTTTAGATTATGCTGGAGCTGAGCCCTTGAGGACACTTTAAGAGTTTTTCTTTCCACTTGCAGTACAGACTGATTTTTTTTTTTTTTTTAAGTGAGGAGTATGCAACTGATGGGTGCTCTGCTTGTCTGGAGGGGAGCCAAATAGAAGTCTGATCCCCGAGGGGGTGGGGCCAGAGCAGAAGTAAACATATGCAGAATGCGAAAAGAGCTGACTGCAAGCTTCTGCTTTGTCATTCCTCTCCCTTCCTTTCCTTCTCTTTCCTTCCCAGTGTGTAATGTGCATAAGTGCTACCTACTTATTTCATAGAATCACTGGATCTAGAAGGAGCTATCTCCTTGAAGATCGTCTGATCCACACTCCCCCCTACTGCAGTAATTCTCCGCTTGATTCAGGAGCTCTTTTTCTTCTCCAGCAGCATTGTAGCCTATCAATTAAAAGTGGACTGGTGAGAGGCACAGTTTTTGGAATCAAGTCAGTTCTGGGTCCAAACTGTGTTTCTGCCACTGACTCGTGGTGATATCCTAGGCAAATTACCCAATACCTCAGTGTTCTAGTCTTATCTGTTAAATGGTTACAATAAAACTAATTTGTAGGAGTTTGAGGATTAAATGAAGGAATAATGTGGTATATAAAAGTGTAGTATATAAAAGACTTAGCACTCAGAACTAAATTAAGAGCAGCTAAATGGTTCAATAGGAACCAGGACCCATGTCTCCTGACAGGCAATACTTTTCCACACATTTTACTGTCTTTCTCGCAAGGTCTCATAAAACCATGGAAAACGTTTCTGTTGCTGGAGCACTCTGTATGTGGCCTTGTAGACTGCAGATGCTGTTATTAGTAACAACATCACACACATATTCAGCACTTTAGATTTTACAGTGCACTTTCACAAGCGGGGGGTGAATAACCACGCCAACATGTCTACTGATGACTAATAGAGGCAGGAAGCAGAAGGAGCAGAGGCTCTGAAAGAAGTCTATTAATGATGCGAATGTGAAGTTATCTGCACTTGTGAGAAGCATAATAAACATTAACACCAACTGGAAGTAACAGTGCATGATATATTCTGGCTTCAGAACTTGGCTTTGATGAGTTAGAAAAGAGGAATACAGCATAGGAGTTTGGGGGCAAGAATTTAAGTTACCTGAAATTTAATGGTCTAAATGCTTCGGAAGTCCAAGAGAGCAGCTCTTCACAATAGGTGAATAATTTTCACGTACAGATGTGTACAGCAATGATTTAGATCACATGATGGTAGAAACCTCAATGTGTTCATAATTTAGAGACAAAGCATATGGAACTGAGACAAGTAAAACAAAGAAGTTCTCAGAAGTCAGCATTAACTGGGTGTTTCAATACTACAAATGTGTCACACCGAAAGGCAAAACTTTTAATAATAGAAACTGTTACCTTGGCTTTCTCACAACCTTCTGAAACAGTACTTCATGTGCGTGAGAATTTTTACATTTGGAAAATGCTCAAAAGTGAATTTTTAGAAAGGGAGGAAAATGGAGGGTACATTTTTAATATAGCATATTTCATTGTTTCTGTATTATAAAATGAATGAATACATCTTTTTGTTAGAAAGAAAACGGTCCTTTTGAAATTTAGCTCCCTAAGCAGATGAATTTTTAAATATTAAACTCTGCCTAACTAGTCCTACCTCTATGGATATGAGGGAAAAATGAGAATTTCATGCAGCTGTCAATTATTTTAAACTAATACCCAAGCAGATACATTTGCAACATTTCATGATTTCTTAATATCTATAGGCAATATTCCAAATCAGGTCTTTCTCTTTTTTTCCCTCTGCCAAAAATCTATATTTTGTCTGGCAGCAAATTCAAGGTAGGGGGTTGATTCAGGTAGGCTGAGGAAGAGAAAGCAGAAGACACTGATAGAAATGGCCTGATAAGCAGCCATGTGGAATAGGAGGTCTATGCTAGACAGAGCCCAAAAGAGCCCAGTTTGTGTCTCACAGTCCAAATTTGGTTTGATGTATTTTTGAAGTTTCTAAAGGTTAACTACATGCTGTAATACATTATAGAAAGACACGAAGCAGAATTTTACTGTGCCAGTCAAGAAGCTGGCTTGAATCTGCTATTTAGGACAGAGAGAGACAGTACAATTTACATGTGTGAGAATGTGGGAATAATTTTACCTTCTGTTGTTTTTAAAACCACCTTGGGCCATGATTTTTAAATTGAGACACAAGAAGATCTGCGGGAGTGGGTGGAGGAGGTGGGGGGAGTTCCCATAGCAACATTAACTTATCTAACTGCCCTTGTTGTATGTAATACTTTCGATACTAGTTTGGCTTTAACATACACACTTTAATTAGGAAAAACAACTGAGTTAAGAGTCTCTGGCAAATTCTGACTTTTATATTTACTGCATGTTTAAACAGAAACCTTGATATTGTACTTCTGAGGATTTGCTACCAAGGCAAATGTATGCAGATACCTTTCATGATTTTCCTTGCCCCCATCTCTGACCTCACTGCATTCCATTCTATTGACGACGAATCCTCGATCAATCTCTCTAAATATATTTAAAGCATGCTGTGGCTAGGATAAAACAGAAACAAACCAATCTTGAATGGCTCCAGTCCAGAGGTGAGAACCCAACGCACCCTCTTATTTAAGGCTGTCTACAAGCTGGTGCCCTCCCCATCTTTTCTCCACCATTCTGAACCATGAACAGCCCTATCAAACATACTTGTCTTCTCACCATCTTCTGAGAGCATACGTTCCAGGACTAGTCTGAGACCTACCTCCTCCCACAGCCCTAATTCTTTCCTTCCAACCCACAGCTGATCTTTCTCTCTCTTCAGAACATTATTACTACTGCTACCACCACACAATGTCTGACTGGGCAGCATCCCTCCCCTCTTTTTTTGATCACAGTGTCCTCATTTTCCTTCGAGGAACTTTCCTCTATTCACTATGGTCTGGTGGAACCATCAAATAACCTGCCCTGACTCGGTCTGTCAAGAGAAGAATCCATGACCCAGCTTGGATTAATCACCTCCTGCCAGGAAGTTGAATTTTAAGTGAGTTCAAAAAGGAAAAATTGTTGGAATGATCATTCTAGGTCCTTTCAAGAGACTGTCCATGTCTTTCAGATTTCTGTGGCTCATAATCAAAGTCTGTTAGCTGAAAAGCTCCCTATTTGAGTACTTGCTCATATATTATCTTGGTCATGATTTAGAGGCTTGGGATGCACACATTTTGCTTTGCCAGCTAGAGCCTACTTACGCTCTCAAAAGACAGGGCTGGGACTTTATTTATTTACTGTATTATTCCATATAATTCAGCACAAAGTAAGTACTCAGTATATATTGTGTAACAAATGAAAGCCCAGTCTTAGAAATTCCATTTTTACCAAATGCAATTTGCAAGCCAATTTATATCTTTTTTGAGGCAAAGTGGTAAACACATTTTTATTTTTTTGGATGCATGGGTCTTTGATGCAGCTCATGGGCACTTCATTGTTGTGTGAAGGCTTTCTCTAGTTGCAATGAGCTGGGGCTGCTCTCTAGTTGTGGTGTGTGGGCTTCTCACTGCAGTGGCTTCTTCTTCCTGTGGAGCACTAGGGTGTGCAGGTCTAGTTGCCCCATGTCATATGGGACCTTAGTTCCTGGATCAGGGATTGAACTCATGTCTCCTGCTTTGGTAGGCAGATTCTTAACTACTGGACCACCAGAAAATAGTAAAACATTTTTAATTGCTACAATGTAATAATTTTCCTGGGTAAATAGTCTTCTTAAAGAAGGCTTCCAACTTGTACACCAAAGAATAGCCTGAAAATAATGTTAGCATTAGTCATACTTCCCCAATTCTAGGAAAGGAAAGAGAAATTAAAATTCTGTTTCAGACATTAGTCTCTAAATTTAAAAAAAACGTTTGGGGATGGACAACAGACAATAACAAAACAAAACAAATAGGCCTTTGCCTTGGTCTTGTGACTTTCCTTGGAAACAAGGCGCGCTGACTCTGCTATCAGTTAACAATGGAGGAGAGTTCAACTGTGTTCAGCTAATGTATAAATAAAGGAGATGGTTTTTTTCACTTCTGAAAAAATGGTAGGCTTTGGTTTCTCAGAATCATTTGACTTATATCAATAATTTACCTAAATGCTTTTAAAACTCAGAGAACAAACAAAATGGTTAAGACATAATAAATCCAAACAAGCTTGGGCATATTAACTTTTGAAAACACAGAATGTTGTGCTCTCTTCTAAGTCACTTCTGTGTGCTTAAAATGCACAAAACAGTTCATCCACGATAAACAGCAGGATACATAAATTCTCTTCTTCTGACTGTCTTTTCAAAAATGAAAGATTTACCAAAGACTTTGAATAGTGTAATCCTCTGATTTGTACCTTAACATGATACATAGTTCAGCCATGAGAAAGGACTGAAAATACCAAGTTGGAGCTTTTTTGAGTCAAGTGTAATGGCTTCTGGAACTTGCCTTGAACCCACACTCGGTGCATTTTCACTTTTTTTTTCCTATTAACTTGTAAGCGACGATCAACCAGATTCTGCTTCTCATCTAACCCAGCCTTGCAGAACATATTGTGGACTTCCCCTGTGAGACAAAAATGGCAATCAAATATATGACATGTGACTTGGGGGGGTAGGGGCAGTCAGGAACAATGCAACATTAATGGAATGATTGAGCATATGAATTTCATTTATACCAAGAAACATTTTCTAGTACAAATTGATAAAGGAAACCTATGACACCAAGTAGGTTTCCTCTACTTCACACAAACACAAGTATAAAACAGATGAACGCAGCAGGTATAAATAGATACACAACTATTCGTTGCAGCTTTCAATATTTTGAGACATGCCTTAGGTCTGAATTCTTGCAGGTTTGCAGAGATCCCAAATGGCACATTATAAAAGTACTCATGTAGGTTTGGGGGAAGTACTTGAATGCAGAATTCATTTTAAATGCTTTTTTTAAAATGAGAAATTGACAAGGGATAAGTAATTTTCTATGGACTCTTAAAATCAAACTCCCTCTTCTGACTGTGGCATGTCATCAATTTTTCATAACTGGGCTAATGGTACCTCCAAAACAGAAACTTCATTTGGGCATGAGAATAAAACAAGTAATTCTTTAAAGCAGATTCAATTGGAAAGAGAGTAAAAGGCAAAAGGCCATTTTCAAGCTTTTACACACAACAGTTATAATCACTAAAGTGTAAAGACATCTAATGTTTAATCAGCTCCTGAAGCCTCATTTTAGAGCTTTTGAGTTTCTCCCTGCAAATAATGCCCAAGAAAAGTTTCTACAGCTAATTATTTCCTCTTATAGATATGCATACCTTTTGTAAAGAAATATGCTCTGGTGCCATCTCCTCGAACATAAAAATTTTCAGATAAACAATGTCCTAAAAAAAAATTGTGACAAGAGAAACTTAGTATTCCTTAAAAAAACCACCACCCACACAAAACTGACATGAAATGTAAACACAGCATTATTTAAAACACATGAAAATAATTCCAAACTGAATATATCATTACCCCTTTTAAAACGAAGCTGAGTCTTATCATATCTTCCATAGTCCCGAAATAACAGCATTCCCCCAGGTTTCAGTAACTCGGACAGTCGGTTTATAACACCTTGCATCCTTTGAAAACAAAGCAGGAGGCTGTGGAAGTCTTGTTTTCTATGCCACATTTAACATTCTTAATGATAAAATAAGCATAGCTTGATAAGGCCAAAGAAATTTATGCCACAAACATAAGGGCACCAAAAACAAAAGTATTTTGTATAGAAAGAAAAAAGGATACCAATTTGCTCAATAATCAGATTCAAAAGTCTAGAATATCAAGAAATCACCCAAGTGACTAGAGTGGTAACTTCACATAGCTTGATGTATGATGTCAAAACTGAACTGCAAAACTATACAGACATTCCTGATATTTACAGCAAATTAAGGTAGTTACAAGGCAGAAAAAACCAAAGTCGTTTCATTTTCCTTGCATGACAAAAAATATGCCAGAGCTGTCCCAAATCAGATAGATATACCTAAGCAGGGACATCTTTTCCTCCGAAACAAGCTGCTTTTCCTTCTGACTTCTTTATTTAGTTCAAAGGTACCATCATTCACTGAAGTGTAACACCTCAGAAAAATCTTTGACCGCTTTTACTTTTCTCTTGTTCTACTATACTCTTCACAACTACTTAGGCATCAAATTGTATGTCTTTTTATTATCGTTATTACATACTTGGTATTTTCTCTCTCTTTTGTTTCCATTAGTACTCCCTTAGTACAAACTCCAACATCCTCTGGCTGGAAAGAGAATTGCTTCCTAACTAGCTTTATTATTTTCCCTGCCAATACTTCCTGTATATTATTGATGAATTATTCTGTTTAAAATGATGATTTTCTCAAATCATCCCTTTGCTCAAATTTTCATGATATTAATCTATAGGATAAAAATCTTAGTTCTCTTAGTTTCTTAGTTGAATCCATCCTTAAGATCACCCACAACTGGGTTCAATTAACCTTTCCAACATCTTTCCCACTGCTTCTTAATCTAAGCATCGCTAGCCAAACTGTTACATGCTTGGTTCTGAGCCGCCCATGCCTGTGCTCGCGTGGCTCCTCTGAAAGAATTCTCTCCTCCTTACTCTCTGCCCATTTAAATTCTATTCACACTCTAAGCCCCAGCTCAATACTGGGAAGCCTTTCTTTCTTTTACTGTTTATTCTACCCATCTGGCTCCCAATCAGACATGACCTCTTGTGACTACTCTTGAGTTAATGTTTTTTGGTTAAGTGTTCAAAGCCTTACATGTGATTATGGTACAGAGATGGCAGAGATTTCAGATCTCATAACAAGCCAAGTGACTGACACTGGCTGCCAACAGAGCTCTATTAAGAAGGACTCAAGGCTTGCTGGGAATGACAATCTACAAAATCAGTTATCACTGTCGGCCCTGGGCAGAGAATGGTAAATGGCAGCCTGTGTACTAAGTCCTTTCTGTCTCTGCTTTATCCAAACTACTTAAGGCTTCTGAGCATTTCTTATTTTAAAAATGAAAGGTCTGGATCACATAATCTGTAAATTCCTTCCAATTAAAACATTGTTCAGTGGAATAATGGGGTGAAAGAGAATGTCAAGTAATGAAGGAAGTAGGTAGTGAGAAACTGAAAGTAACTATGAAAATAAGAGACAAAAAAAGTGGCATGACTAGGAGAAAATCTCATTTAAACAAACTGGAACATAAGTACATGAAAAAGAAAACTATTTTTCCTTGTTTATTTTATTACAGGTTATTTTCACACTGTGCTTATATCCTTAGGATCTGGCAATTAAAACCATATCTAAAGCTTAAAATATTCACTTTTAGGATAAATGGTTTAGGTACAGAGAAAAATCTCTTCCTGCAATTATTAGCAAGACAAGCATGAAATGAAAACACAGAAAAGCAAAGAGCCAAATACTTCAAAATGTAGTCTTCTTTTGCAAACCCTTTGCTCCCAACTGTCCTTTAAAGTCTGCAATGTGGGTCAAGGCAAGGGGTGGGGAACTGCTTCTCTTATCAGTCGATCTTGGCTCATAGTGCAATTCCAGAGCCAGTTCCTGAGAAATGCAGGTGGGAGTGGGTTGGGGATGAGAGGGACAAGACAAGAATGGGGAATGCCCCTTTTCTCTTTTCCCATCTGACTTGGGCCAATTCTGCTATCCTCACCTATCTTTGGAAGGAGGAAGATGAGAAAGAAAAGAAGAGATTTAAAAAAAAGTGTTTATTGACAATCTCTGTGTAGATCTTTAGAAGAGATATTATATTTTTATTTCAGTGATAAGAAGGACAGTTACTTCTTGTTTTGTAGCTTTCTATGGTTTACTTCCATTTAAGCTGGGACTCCCTAGACTCAAAGGCTTGCTGAATTGCTTTTCCAAGCTGGCAAGAAGCTACTTTTCTAGAATTTTCCTGGGGCTAAATCTACTATCACAGTGCTAGATGACCTGAAAGGTACTGCCTCACTTTTCACTTACTATTATACAACTTCTACTCACTTACCTCATTTTTAGATCATTTCCATGTAGATAAGAAAGTACCTATGTTAATGTACTGACATGATACATCTGAATCTATTTTAAAATAAACAGAATGAATATATGTACCATAAAAACAATCTTTTCAAGACATCTGCTTCCCCTTCTTCTTTCCATTCAATTCAAATCATGAAAAAACACATAATCTAAACTAATATAAACAGCCTCCTTGAGGGTTTATTTTGAATTGAAACATTTCCTGTTATACGTGTTAGATAGAAAATCTTGTTCATTATCCACCTCCTCTATCCTTTTAGCTGTGAAACAAAATATAGATGACATCTTTCTACTAGTACCTAAATAATGCCAATAGCCTAAACAAATTAGCAGAAATAGGTTACAGAAACTGGGAGGAAGTAACTTCATGGAACTGGATAGATCTCATCAGGTACAATTATATATTTCATTCATTATTTGGAAATCTAATTATTTTTTCTACAAGTAATCAAAGTGAACATCTCTGAATGAGAAGTAAAAGGCCTGTAAAGGATCCTAGTGATCTTATAGCAAAGAAAGAAGTATACAATGCTTGATTTCTCTGGGAAAGAGTAACGCTCACCAAAGTGGTTGATGCCAAGTCTGCACCTACTAACCAGAAGATCACAAAAACCCAATTTTAAGACACATTCTGAAGGGACAACCCCAGACATTTAGCACACATGTGTCTTAATACATACAAAGTGGAAAAATTTTAAGAAAAGTGATCATTTTAATTGCTGTAATATCTCTTTGTGCTTCCTCTTTGGAGAAAAGCTATATTTATTATTTCAGAATACACTATATGAACAAAAATATTTAAGTCATAAATACTTAAATGATGGCACTAGACCAACCTTAGATTATAAAGGTCCAAGGTTAATCTGGAAAATCTTGATAAACCCTAATTCCCTAGTGGGCTTCCTTAAAACAAATATTTTAAAGACCTATGTGAAGCCAGATTCACAGCCCACCTCATTACGAACATTCAGCAAGAAGCTAAATCAAAGATGTTTGTTTCTGATCACCAAGTACAGTTTCCCTCTTGGGAGTCTATTAGGCTGTTCTGAATTTGTAATTTTCTTGAAGCACTGTCACTTTTAATAGGTATGTGTCTTGTCAGAAGATGCTTGCTTCTATCTGACAGTGACAGAAAGCTCACTAATGAAACAGTTTGGCCAGTTTCTTTCTAAAAGTCTGAAGAAAGGAAAAAACTGCATTTAAAAGGCTGCATATTACATGTAATGTAGTTCACTAAATAATAAATTCAAGAATTGTCTTTTTGCTTTGATAGATCTGAAAGCCACTCCTGATAAAGGGGCTGTACATATTTGCTCTGCCCTTTGGTCGTCATTTACCTGTCAGGATGAATAGAAGACAGCACAAAGACGAGGAGAATGACATCCAGGGTCCCATCCGGAAAAGGGTAGGGTAAGCCATGGTCACAAACGTCATGAACAAAGGCACAGCACTGGGATGCTCTGTACGATGCATGAGACTGTCATGATAAAGGAATGAAAGTTTTTAGCAGACTTCTAGTATTTTTTTTCCAAATCAAAAAGGTTCATTTAACGTCTCCCAAAGGCCTTTCTTCTATAAATTTGATTTTCTGATTAGCTTATTTCAAGCTGACATAAAAAATTAAGCCTAGCACTTGGAGTTGATAACAAATATTCTTTTGCAGCCCTTCTTTAGCTTTAAAAGTGGAGTAGGGCAATCTTTCTGGGTCAGCAGGCAGCAATGCTGGAAGCTCACCCTGTGTTGCTTCGCAGGCACTGAGACGGTCCTCTGTGCTCTCTCTCACTGCTTGTTCCATGCCTCCTTTGGCTTAATACATAAATATCCTATAGTATGTAATCAACATTAGGTAATGGTGATGACTGTACAACTCTGTAAATATACTGAAAAAAATCACTGGATTGTATACTTTTAAATGGTGAATTTTATGGTATATGAACTATATCTCACTAAAGATGCTATTTTAAAAATGCATTAGAGTACACACATACTATTTGCCTATAAAAACAATACTAAAAGAATATATACCAAAATTCTGAGTCACTCTAGGACTCTGGAAAGCATGACTATAGGTAAATTTTATCTTTCCCTTTAGGCTTTTCAGTACTTTAGAAAATGTCTACAATGAAAACCTAGTAACCCTTATTACCAGAAATTATGTTCCATGCGTTTACCAAACATTTTTGTTAGCAGAATTTCCATTCCTTTTCCATTTTCTAAAATTACCTCTTTTTCCTATGATAATGCTTACTAGAATTTGGGGATTGGTCAAATAAAACCAAGTTCCAACTGTTTTCCTTATAGTCAAGGACATTTTAGATTTGTGATAATGCCTTTTCAGACCTTTTTTTTTTTTTGCAGAATTTTAAATTTAATGAGTGCCTACCATGTGCCAGGCTACGTATAAAGCTCTAGGGACATAAATATAAATATCGCCCTGTAGGAACCACTCCCCTGAACTCTAAGTTAAGTCCCAAACAACTTCAATTGTTTTGATGATATGATTTGCAAAATAGTAAAAGTTCAGTGAAAAACGGTCACAGATGTGCTTCCCTGGTGGTCCAGGGGTTAAGAGTCTGCCTTGCAATCATGCGTTCAATCCCTGGTTGTGGAAGATCCCACGTGCCGTGGGGCAACGAAGCCCGTGCACCACAACTACTGAACCTGTGCTCCAGAGCCTGGGAGCTGCAACTACTGAGGCCTGCGTGGCCTGAGCCTGTGCTCTGTAACAAGAGAAACCACCACAGTAAGAAGCCCACGTGCTGCAGCTCGAGGATACACCCACTCTCCACAACTAGAGAAAGCCCATGTGCACAGCAAAAGGCCCTGTGCATCCAAAAAATAAATAAATATAAAAAAGAAAATGACATATCTCAAAAAAAAGGGGGTCACAGATAACATTTGATGCAGTTACATTAAAAAAAAATCACTTCAACAGTAAATAAATTAGATTTTTAAAAAATACAGCTCTCTTTAAAGAGAATATAAGGCATACCTTTACTAGCTCCACAGCTCCAGAAGCAAAATCACAACAATAAAGAAAGAACTCTGGCACATTCCTATAAAAAGGAAGAAATATTTAAATCTGGAGTTCAAATAAGCTGAAGCAACACAAGAAAGAGACTGTAAGTTGGAATTTGTTAATAAGTACTTCTTAAACAGAATTTTGGATGACACTTGGCTTGCAGTTTCTTCTTTTAAGGTACTGTTCTCTATAGTGGTGTGTGAATGCCTTCATGTTGTTTCTGAACCAACACTGTCTCAAAACACTTAACCATTTACAGGGTAACTTTCAAGTTCCTGATCTGGTTTTAAGGCCCTCCCTTTCTTGGGCCTATTTGCCCTATATTCCAGCATACTCTCACATGAGAAACCTCCACAGCCATCCATCAGCATTGCTCAATCTTGCTCCTACCCCTCCCAGGCACTCTTTCTTGTCTGCCTCCAGCTGGCATGGCCTGTAATTCCTCTCAACTTAGCCAAGTTCTATTCTCTCCAAGGACCCTCAACCCCATGTCCGTTGGCACCTCATTCTTTTTCCTGTGTGTATAGTCATTTGTTCCTGGGCCTCTCACAGAGGCTCTAATGCTCCGATGATGATGTATATACATATGAAAAAATATATATATATATATTAGAAGTTGTAGTTACATGCTATTAAATACGTTTATATTATTATATGTACCACGTACATACAACATCTAAAAATAATAAAACATTTGTATATTAATTTTGTTATCTTTTCAAATGATTTTCAAACTTTTACTGAGCCCCATATATAGACCAAGCATTAGAATACAAAGTAGTAAATGAAACTGTCTAATAAAATAGTAAGAGTATGGGATTTGGGAGCCAATTACACGTGTTTTTAAATCCTGGATTGCCACTTATTAACACGGAATTAGACTTAACGTCTCCAAGACTCAGTTGCTTTATTTATAATATGCAAAGGATGTAAGTAAATTAAGGGTTTTTTTTTTTTGAGGGGGTATGTTTTATCCATATGAAAATCTTGACTAATTTTAACTGGCCTCCACTGAACTTAGATAAGTTTTTTACCTGAAATTCAGTAATGATGGCTGAGCCATCATGTCCCTACTAACAGGCAGGGACATATAACTGACCCTTAAACAATGCAAGTTTGACCTTCTAGGTCAATTATACACGGATATTGTTCAACAGTAAATACTAAGTACTATATGATCTGTGGTTGGCTGAATCTGCAGATATGGAGGACTCACAGATACAAAGGGTTGACTATAAATTTTTGTGGATTAGTCACCTGCACTGTTCAGTGGTCAACTGTACTTTGAATTTTGCGGGTCAGTACTCTTCCTGATCATATCTTACATGCTATTATCAAAAGAATTCTCGAATCATCTTGCTTAGTTTTGTGTCTGAATGACAAGAGATTTAGTATGTCCTTAAACAGTAATTACAGGTACGGTATTGGTTTTTGTGGACTTTATAGCCTAGATGGGGACATAATTTCCATAGAACTGTGGATAAGGCAGGCACTGTCAGGCCAAAGTTTAAGAATTTTGAAGGGGGAGGATGGCATTGCTAAGTGCGAAGAGGGGAAAGGGTTTATAGGTGGGAGTCACATGCCAGGGATGAGAAGCAGAGGTGATTTAGAATAGAAGGAAGGATATATGGGCTTTGAAGCACATAATTAGAACTTCTAATCTGATTCAGGAGGCATATTAAGCAAGGATGATTTCTAAATAAATATGGAATACAAGCACAAACATACATTTATTAGCAAAATCTCACCCAGGCTGACATTACTCTCTTAAAGGCTACTCACTGATGAATACTACATTAACATACAGTATTCTCATATACAGTACAGTTTTCACATACAGTGCCACTCTGTGGCACTAGGAATTTTAATTCAAATTAAGATGTGTCCAAATAAATGAACGTATGAAGGATAGGATTTGGTTATGAAAAGTTACCCAGTGCTGAATCAAAGCTAAAACTTGTGTGCTGCTTTTCTTTTTCATCCAACCCATTTAGAAATGCCTCCTTGGTGGCTCAGACCAAGTAAAGAGTCTGCCGGCAGTGCAGGAGACCCGAGTTCGATTCCTGGGTCGGGAAGATTCCCTGGAGAAGGAAATGACAACCCCCTCCAGTATCCTTGCCTGGAAAATTCCATGGACGAAGGAGCCTGGCAGGCTACAGTCCATGGGGTTGCAAAGAGTCGGACACAACTGAGTGACTTCACATATAAAAATAGTGCTTTATTGCAGCATGCACCCTTATTGTTTCCTATGAAACCCCTATATTTGTGACTCATAATTTCTTGGATGGTCACACATGTTTGAAATGTCTCAGTAAACACTCAGATACATATATTATTCGTACTACATGATATTCTGGCTAAGGGCAAGGGCTCTGAAACCAGACTGTCTAGGGTTGAATCCCAGTTCTACCACTTAGTTGGGTAACCATGGATGAGTTACCTAAGCTCTCTGTAATTGGTGTCCTCATCTTTATTTTTTAAATTATTTTATATTTGAATATAGTTGATTAACAATGTTGTGTTAGTTTCAGGTGTATAGCAAGGTGATTCAGCTATACACATACATGTATATATTTTTTCAAATTCTTTCCTCATTTAGGTTGTTACAGAATATTGCGCAGAGTTCCTTGTGCTATACAGTAAGTCCTTGTTAGCTATTTTAAATACAGTAGTAGTAGAAATGTCAATCCCAAACTCCTAACAGAAATAAAATATGGCATCTAAGTTGGTTGTGAGGATAGAATGGACTCAGATAGTAAAGTTTATAGAAAAATGCCTGACTCAGAGTAAGCACCTAATAAATGTTAAAAAAAATATCATTTTTATTATTCTTGCTATCATCATCACAATCATCATTGTCAAAGGAATATCTGCCTCTGCCTTCCAGGAACTTAAGAACTTAAGAACTTAATATGCTTTTGTAAAAACTTTCATATAGCTCAAAATGCTTCTCTGGATACTGGCACATCTAGCTCATTATGACAGGCATGCAGTCTACCCTTGTGCAGAAATTATTAAACAACCACAAGATATAGAACAGTCCAGTAGCTAAAGGAAAGCTTGTGCCATTTGCCATGTGTCCTACCAGATAGCAACATGACCTCTGAGACTGAATTCCCACTGCATCAACAGCCCAACTTGGTCTTGTGACCACTCAATGATTTTCCAGGGCTTTTCTTTAAAATCAGCTGACTGTCTTGGCCCTTCTCCCAGGAAACAGGTGTAAATATCACTACTACTACCACACCATCAAGCACTCTCTTGGCAGGAGGTTTAAGAATTAAATGATCCTTGGAGAATGATATGACCTCTCAATTCCAGGGGTCTAATTATGGTAAAATATTCTGAAAATGTAAAATATTAATTCTATGATCTCAAAAAGTAATAAAACATAATTTCTTTGGTTGGGAAAAAAGGTGTAATCCTCCCTTTGGAAGGCGAATCACTAGCTGCCTTTTAAAGATGAATTAATTATCTCAGGTTATTGAGTTACAGTGATTTCTAAAATAGGAATATGAGGCCAAAAAGAGACCCAGTCACAAAGAAAGAGCCAGGGGGTGAGAAGGCAAGAGCCTGCAATTATTAGTCAGGTGGAGAAGTACAAGGGGGAAAAAATACAACTAACAAGTGGGGAATAAGAGATATTAACCAGTCAGTATGTACCAAGCTCTAACTATCTATATTATATTGTTAGGCTACCTGGAAAACCAAATTAGAATACATTATGCTCTCTACCTCAAGAAATATATAAATAGTAGCTGAAGAAAGAAGATATAAGGAAATGACATGCTAAATAATAATTTGAGATGAGTCATAGAGTAACACATAATCAACCACCAATGTAGTAGATTTACATGTATTACAAGTTCAGAAAACATCAGGGTGAAGGAATCTGGCTATGTGGTATAAGAACAGGAAATTTTGGCCTAGAAACGGGAAAAGGAAAACAAAGAAAATAAATCCTGAAAGAAAAAGGCCATTCAGAACTGCAAATTGGCCAGACACTTTTAACTGGTAATTTGATGATATTATGGAATTACTTTTTATTATGTTAGGTTTATAACAGCAATTAGGAATGTCTTGCTTTCTGGAGATCCATCATAAGTTCATAAAAATAATGTGTCATGATGTTGGCCTTACGTAACTGCTGAAACAAGGTGGTGGCTATATGAGAATTTACTGTATTACTCAATTTTTCTGAATGCGTTTACATTTTCACAATGGAAAGTTTAAAAAAAGACTTTAATAAATTTTAAAATATGCATAGTGAAAAGACTGAAAGGAATTATAATAAAAATTATGTCAGCAGCTATATTTTGAAGTTTTGATGGTGGTAATAATGGGTGATTCCTTCCCACCCACTTTTCCTCTAATGGGAAAGTTCTACAATGTGCTTATGTTAATTTTGTAATGGAAAAATGACAATCGGAAAGCTATTGTATAAACTTAAAAAACATAGGCACTTGACAGACCAGCCATAGGTAAAAGGAGTAAAAGTTTTCTAAGCTGTGTCTTCTTCATCACCTACTAAAACACATTGGTGAGGTGTTGAACAGGAAAGGCAGGTCAGGAGAACGTCTCTGCTCCTATTACAGACTTCACCCTTTATGAATCTTAGGGTTAGGTGTGATAACCCCAAAAATTTCAACTCTAGAGAGTCACTTCAACTCTATAGGAAGGTTTTATCCTGGGTGGGGCTCCAGAAGTGATGACAAAATAAAATGAGTTTAAAGCTTACACAAAATAAAGTGTAAGCTTTAAACTCAATTCTCTATGTGTAAAATGACACCTAAGTAACCTGGAGGAGTAAATAAATCTCTAAAGTTCAGTAATTCCCAGCTTAGCAGAAGGATCAAATCTCTTGCTCATTTCTTACTCTCATCCATAAGCACAAACTTAAAAAATTACTTCAACTCATGGTGGACAACCTATGTCTGTGAAACATTATTTCCAGAGTAATTATCAGTTCACATGAAATTAGATACAAAGACCAAGCCACTGCTTTTGAAATTTGGTTTAGTCATTGTTTATATGGGAACAAGAACACTATTGGTATATATATGACAACATTTTCCAATTATTTCTCAATATCCCATACATGTGCAGAATTTTGTAGGAGAAAATTCTAAAACTCACTGCAAAGTGTTCAGAATTGGAAAAACACTATTTCCAGCACCGCAGCCAACCTAAAATCAAAGAATAAATAAATATTATGAAAAGAAAGTTAAATTTTCCTCATCAATATCAGATTTTTACTTTAAAAAACTAAAAGAAATGTTCTGAATCTTTGGCTATTAGAGAGTTGTATAAGCTCAAAATGGAATAAATCATGAAAATAATATGTACTGAGAAATTTGACTATTTAAAATTTTTACATACCAAAACCCCAAATGAACCAAGTTAAAAAGTGACAAAAACATTGTGGAAAAAATATTTGAATTAAATATGATAAAGGGCAGAGTTCATTAAAAAAAAAACACAACTAATAAATAAAGGAAATAAGTAGATGACAGAAGAACAAATGGTTTCTAAACATCTGAAGAACTATATGACCTATTTAACAATCAAAGGAATCAAGTTAAAATATGGTTTTTGTCTAACAAAGAAGAAAGCAATAAAAATAAGATTATTCCAATCAACGAGGGTGTGACGAGACAGACCTACACTGCTGTAAATTGGTATTAGTACAACTTCTTAGCAAGCAACTTGGCAAAATATTTTAACAATATTAAAAATTTTAATAAGTTATAAACAAGTCAATTGAACTCAAATAATAAAAGAAAATACAGAGAAGTCTATACCTGAAGATACTTGCTGTACAAAACCTGAAAACAATTTAAGTGCCCAGTCAAGTGAAAACAGATAAGTAGAATCAGTATTTCACTTAGTATAGTAATTTTTAGCCATGAAAATGTTTATAGAGAATTTTTAAAGATAGGGAAAACTGCTTATGTTATAATGTTAAATACAAACAAAGAAAAACACTAAAATGCAGATATAGTATAGCTCAACTATATAAAACAGTATAAACAAAAGGAAAAGAAAGTTAAATGTTAACAGTGGTTAAATCCTTTGTTTATGGGATTGTTGATTCTTTCTCTTACCAAATTCTTTGTAATCAACATCTACTATGTTTATAATCAGAAGGAAAAGTTTTCTTTTTCTAAAATAGAAAATCAAGGTCTACACCAGATTATAGCAAATTACATACTTCACTTATTTCTATTTCATCTACAAGTGGGTACCAACAGAAAGAGATGGAAATTGAGGCCAAAACTTCACTGGTATTTAAAACGGCCTTCAAGTTAGAAATTAAAGCAGACAAACTTAAGAAAAGTTTTAAATCACAAACTTAAAACCTGACTGATTAAAGATATGAGGCCCTTATGTAATTTTTATGCACAAAAGTACACAGTTATTTGATCATTTTCCCTCTAAAGAATCTGGATCATTAATAAAGTAATATGTGATGTACATTAAAAAATTTTTCCCATGAAGTACCATACCTCGAGGATTCTGAAAGCAGCATTGCTACCAGGAAACAATTCAGTCTTCAGACGTCTTTCTCTGTATTCTTCAGAGTCCAGTTTAGAAAAGTCAGATCCTGCTTTGCTTTGACCATCTGATGAGCCAGAACTTTCTTTATAATGATTTTTTTCTTCAGGCATAGTAGGGCAGTGCATTTTTGAGAAAAAACTTTCAGTATTAATTTTCACATGATTCCATGATAATTCTTTCACCTTCTCTTCAGTTTTCTGACCAACTGGAAGAATTTCAGGGAATTCCCTCAATAGCCAATTACGATCTTTGAAAAACTTATTCTTATGAATCTTATAAAATGTGTCCCAATATTTACTGGCTTCACTCTCATACTTAACTAAAATAAAGAGAAAAAAAGATTTATTTTATTATGAATTATATGTATTATTGGTTACTATTTTAATAACTAAATATATTAAAGTCACTCAGTCATGACTGATTCTCAGTGGCCCCATGGACTGTGACCCACCAGGCTCCTTTGTCTATGGAATTTTCCAGGCAAGAATAGTGTAACGGCTTGCCATTTCCCAAGGGGATCTTCCCGACCCAGGGATTGAACACGTGTCTCTTGCATCTCCTGCACTGGTAGGTGGATTCTTTACCACTAGTGACACCTGGGAAGCATTTAATAATTAAATACTACTGAGTATATTACATATACTATTCATTTATAACAATTATATTTACTATTGAATAATATTACAGTAATTTTTACTTATATGATTCTTTTTGAACCTCTTAAAGGTTAGGACTACAAAGTATTAGTCCTCTCAAAATGTGTCAATGTGTGGGGTATATGGGCTTTTCCTGGTAAACCTGCTTCTGTCTCAATTGTTTAGCTGACAAATTTTTGTGAAGAATAAAATAATTACAAACTACTTTCTAGAGTCTCTTCTTGAAATCTTAATAATCACATTTTTACCAATAACACTGTAAGTCTCTTTATTATCTTGGAGAAATGATAACCTCACTTTTATGTTGCTAAAAATGTAGTTTTAACATAACAAGTGTCTGTGCAAACTGGTAATCAAACAGGAAACTGTGGAATAATAAATGATGTAATCTTGAGCTAGAATGGTGCACTGAAATAATCTACTCCAACCTTCTTGTTTTGCATTTGAAGTAAGGACACACAGAGGGATTAGCCCACTTGTCTGGGTCCTGGAGCCCTGTCATAGTAGAACCGGGACCATACGTCCTGACTCGTGGGGTTTAGGGGCCATCCCACAACTCCATTCTTCACCCACCTCCAGAGGCATCTCTTCATACTGACATCTCCTAATATGAAGCCTTAAAGAGAATTTCTGATGCAATTTAAAAGGAAATATGCATTTTGTGATGTCATTCCTTAGATCAATCCTGGGTCCCAGCATCAGGGTCAGGTCAACAGTCACAGATCTTCCAGCAATTCTTAGCTTTCTGCCTCTTTCTATCTGTATGTTAAATTAACATAATCACTAATTCACTCACTTTCTCACTCACTCATTCAAGAAGCATTTCTCAGATACTATCATGTACCAGACATAAACCCTGGCTTAGGAATTACTTTCAGTCAGTGCAGCAGCCATGAAATTAAAAGACGCCTGCTCCTTGGAAGAAAAGCTATGACCAACCTGGACAGCATATTAAAAAGCAGAGACATTACTTTGCCAACAAAGGTCCATCTAGTCAAGCTATGGTTTTTCTAGTAGTCATGTATGGATATGAGAGCTGGACCATAAAAAAAGCTGAGCACTGAAGAATTGATGCTTTTGAACTGTGGTGTTGGAGAAGACTCTTGAGAGTCCCTTGGACTGCAAGGAGATGCAACCAGTCCATCCTAAAGGAGATCAGTCCTGAATATTCATTGGAAGGACTGAAGCTGAAGTGGAAACTTCAATACTTTGGCCACCTGATGCGAAGAGCTGACTCATTTAAAAAGACCCTGATTCTGGGAAAGATTGAAGGCAGGAAGAGAAGGGGACGACAGAGGATGAGATGGCTGGATGGCATCACCGACTAAATGGACAATGAGTTTGAGCAAGCTCCGGGAGTTGGTGATGGTCAGGGAAGCCTGGCATGCTGCAGTCCATGGGGTTGCAGAGTCAGACACAACTGAGCAACTGAACTGAACTGAGACACATGACATTTTTAAAGTGCTTTCAAAAATTTTAAAAAATATTCTGTTGTTATAGAATAATTTCCAAGACTTAATGTTATGTGAGAAAGCAAAATGTAGAACACTATGTATACGATGCTATTTTTTAGGGGGAAAAAACCTATTTTTTAGGGAAAAAAGGAGGAAAAACACACGTGTTACATGAACAGAAGACTTTGGGCAGGATAATCACATAATCAGTCATACTGGTTGCCTCTCAAGAGTAGAACTGAGTGGTTGGGGACCAGGGCTTCAGAAAGAATTTTCATTTGAATTTTGATCCATGTAAATTTTGATTATCTATTCCCAACCCCCTCCCAAAAAATTAAACTAAAACTAAAAACAATAGACTCTATTCTTTCATAATTTTAAAGAAGCCCCTATCCTGAGAACAAGCAGTTACCTACAGTCAGTTTTGTCTTTGTTACAGAACCCTGTCCTGAAACCCTTATAGTTTTCCTTTTCTTTCCACTTTTATCTTTATGGACTTGTACAATGGATCTCCACCCATTTAGCCACAAGACTTCCTTCCCATCAAGGCTGAATTGTATCTGGCAGCAGGACTGCTTGAAAGACAGAAACTCCTATCTTTAAGGTCTGAGAAATGAAAGTAGATCTCTGTAACAAAAGAATTATGTGATGTTGAAGTCCAAAACATGCTTGCTCACATCTGTACTAATGGGTGGTGGTGATGGTTTAGTTGCTAAGTCATGTCCAAATAATGGGAAGAAGGCTATTTATGGTTAATCTAAAAATGTTGTATTTTTTAAAATAGTTCTATCTCAACTCAAAAACATTGGGAATGTGCCTGATATACTGTGTAAGAAAACAAAACAACATTCTGAAAATCAGACTCAGGAGGAATTAGGAAACTGTCAAATTTCCCCAGTCTTTTCATACCTTCTCTTCTTCCTCTTATCTTAAAAACCAGCTTTGTAACTCACTCTGTGATAATAAAAGATTCTTCTGCTTAATAAAAAGTGACCCACCTAAGAAGACCTATATTTAGCCAAATCTCTAGTATCTGAGTTTCCAATACCAAGCTACTTCTGAAGTGAGTTTGAACCTAACTATTAGTAACTAGAATGTTAACACTACAAGTGATTAATTTGTGGCACTATCCCCCTTGGAATTAACTGGCAGAAGAAGGGATGGACAGCAGGGGAGTAACTTGAAAAAAAGATGTTCCTAGCAGTATTACTTATAATACGAAAAATGGGAAATAACTCAAACAGCCTCAACATTGGAATGATCAAGCAAACCATGAATGTCAAAACAGAGTAATCTTATGCAGCAATTAAAATTTAAAGGCTAATAATATTAAGAGAAAAACTTCACACAGAATGGTCTGTAACTTTAAAATTGCACTGGCTGCACTTTAAAATTTATATTCATTTATAACCATCAGATGGAAATTTGGAGTGTTAAATTGTTAAAATAATTTAACAATTATTAGGTAGTTCTTCTTTGGCAAAGGTTTTTTTGGCTTTTTAAATTGGAGTATAGTTGCTTTATACTGCTGAGTCAGTTTCTGTTGTAGAGCAAAGTGAACCAGCCATATGCACACATATATACCCTCTTTTGGATTTCCTTTCCATTTAGGTCACCACCGAACACTGAGTAGAGTTCCTTGTGCTGTACAGTAGGTTCTCATTAGTTATCTAGTTTATGCGTAATAGTATATATACGTCCATCTCAACCTCTCAATTCATCCCATGCCCTGCACCCTTTCCTGCTTGGTATCCATATGTCTGTTCCCTATGTCTGTGTCTCCATTTCTGCTTTGCAAGTAAAAGTATGTATACCATTTTCTAGATTCCACATATATACATTAATATATAATATTTTTCTCTTTCTGATTTACTTCACTGTATATGTCAGTCTCTAGGTCTATCCATGTCTCTGCAAATGACACAATTTCATTCCTTTTTATGACTGAGTAATATTTGAAAAGTTTTATCTGCATCTTAAACAAAGATAAAGAATCTTGGTTGACTTCTTCATTCTACTATCCTAAAGGATATCTCTATGTTCAAGTTCTAAAAAGTCTATGTACTTTCCTATTAAATCCCATGAATTTATGGAGAACATTAACAAATGGCACCCCACTCCAGTAGTCTTGCCTGGAGAATCCCACGGACAGAGGAGCCTGAGGGGGCTATAGGCCGTGGGGTCACACAGTGTTGGACAAGACTTAGTGACTAAAAAACAAACATTATAGTTCTACAAACTGCAAAGTGTTGGATCAGACTGCTGTAATAAATATGAGCTTGTATACTGTTTAATTTCTACAGTTTATCATGAAAATGAACCTGCAGTGAGGTGACTAGAATCTGATTCAGATACCAAATATATCAAGCACCTAAATTCAACCTGAGCTTATCCAATCTTTAAAAGGATCTGATTACTATTAGAAGATGATGGTCAGGTCTGCTAATATATACACTTTCAAGCTTTTTCAAGTATTTCTTACTCAGGAATTAGGAGAAAACAATCACATACACCATTGTACCAATAACAGCAGCATTAAAAATAACAACAATAGTATATACTGAGTGTTTATTTTGTGCCAGGCACCGTGTCAAATGCCTTACTTGGATTTTTTCCCCATTTAATCCTAACAATACCTCTCAGACATATATATTATTATAGATAAAGAAGTTCAAGGTTAGAGGGGATAAAAAATTTGCCCATGGTCATCACCAGAGCTAGGACCTGAACTAAGTCTATCAGACTTTATGCTCTTAACCATTATACTGCCTTCTAACACAAAATCTAGATTAACCTCCTCCAAAATACTTCTGAAAATAATCTGTTTTCCTGATTTTGTACTTTCCTCTTATTATGAAGCACCAAGTTGAAATTAAATCCTCAGTATGACTTAAAATCAGTAAAACAGAACAGTAAAAATAATGCTGATTGGAGTGAACCTACATAAAGGCAGATCAGAAATACAGAATTAATTAAAATCCATTTGAATTATATAAACAATAAACTATGCAAGGTTGCATGATGAAATTATGATGAGCAATGGGGACATAAAATGTTCTATGAGAATAGATGGGTTTGTGGGACAGCAACAAAACAGAAACAAAACAGAATTGGCTGGGATAAAGGCTAATGGACTGGAACTGGGTTTTGGGGTTTTTTGTTTTTTTTTGTTTTTTTTTTTTTTTGCTTTTTCAAGTTGTGTTTTCAGC